AAAAAAAAAATCAACAACATGCAAAGGAAAGGAGAGTAATGTCCATCACGATGCCCCCTGCTGCAGAAAAGGTGCTACTGCAGCGTCAAAGACAGAAGAATGTGCAAAGAGGTAAAATCTGTTGCTCTTTAAGGCGTCACCTGGTGGGAAACAAGCTGATGAGCATGAGTGTTTTTCATGCAACCACCTGCTTCATGTCTGAAGATTGAAGTGATGCATGTGCTTGATTTTGGCTACTACAGACTGTATATAAAAGATGGGCACAACATCCTCCTGCTTTTCTGGTTGATTATCATGGTCACTGACTCAGAGGTGCTAAAATATAGAATAATAACATATAGTATCTATATAGTACCAAAGCATTCATCTAAGCTGTGCAGGAGTTATCAGGTGCTTCCACCAGCCTAGATTGGAACCTGTATGTGGGCATCCCTCCATCTCTACATTGTAAGTACACATTAGAAATTCAGCCAAACTGTTAGTAATAATGAACAAGCTGTGACCTTTTAAATCACATTAAATACTTCCTATTTGTGTTGTTTGATACCCGATAACCAAAGTCTGTGATGTCATGTGCACGCTTTTGAAATCGTGATACAGAGGTTTGTTTAAAGTTCATTGCTGCCTTCTTGTGGACAGACCTCAGAACTGCATGTATGGTTTAAATGGTTTTAATGTTTTATTATTTGTGCTTAATTAATTTCCTGCTCAGGTCCTCCCTTGTTTTTCCTCTCCCCTTCATTTTTCTCTCTCTTTCTCTGTCTCTTTCTGTCTTCTCTCAGTGAGGGAGCCAACCACAATGAGTCGGCCAGCTCAGCACCAAAGGTAAAATGAAAAAATAAACAACTAAATAATCCCCAAACACCCTAAACTGAATGTTAAAAGGTTTCATAAAATCTTAAAATGTCAAAAAATAAGATGAATCCTTTTTTTTTTTTTAAATGTAACAAATCATTAGAGGAAGTTTTGCTGTAAACGTCTCTTTAAAATCAACTTAAAATGTGATTAAAATGATATTTGGTCTCTATGAATGTTTGAAAGTATTTGCACTTTAATTAGATTGTCAGTTGTTAGTTAGTATTTCATTTTTATGATGATTAACAAACAAATTTGTGAAAAAATGAATTCCCTAACCTCTAAAGCAACATCATATTACACACACACACACACACACACACACACACACACACACACACACACACACACACGCATTACTTCTGTTTACTACCATGCCACTGCTTTTGCATGTGTGCGGTGCTGTGTGATTTCGATTTAACGCCTCCTGGATGTACAGAGGTCTGCTCCGCCTCCTGGCCCACCTCCCAGTCGGCCTCCACCAAGAATGACGCCATCTCCGAACCAGCAACAGCAAAATGTCAGCCCATTTGAGGATGAGCCCTCAGTGCACGACACTAACACAGACTCCACGACCACGACGCTGCAGGTCAGGCTGACTGCAAATGTCTATGTTCTGGGTACCTATAAAAAGATCCTGTATGACTTTGACAGAAATACCTTGTTAGACTAGGTCCGGGAAGATAGGAAGATAAAGCCACTACTGAGTAAAACACACTGATATGTGTTTCCATTATTAACAGGAAACTCGAGTTTTACAGTATCTGAGTGAGGAAAAAAAGGCCTGGGGTAAAGCCCTGAGGAACCCTGTAATCCCAAACCTGATTCAAAATCACTGTTAATTTAGTCTTAATGTTAGTGTTATCTTTGGTAATAAAGTGTATCCCTGCAGAAAGACAAATGCAGACTGAAAATGACAATGTCAAAATGGCACCTTATTTACTAATCTAATAAAAAAAACAACACAGAGCGCTGCACAAAGAAGAAAGGAAAAGTTTAAATCTACAAACACAGAGAATCAGTAGAAGAAAACAAAGCATATACAACAATGGCCTGATAAAGACTGACATAAAAACACCAGAATCTAACCTTCAAAATAAAACAGGAAGTAAAGTGAAATAGGGAATAAGGTTTAACTTTAGAGTGACCCTGACAGACGGGCACATCGGAGGTACATGAAAAAGGAAAAAAGTTCAGCCTTTAAAATTATGAATACTGATGAATTACAAAGTTTGAAATTACAAATGCATTCATTATAAAGTACCCCTCATGGCCCACCTGCAGTAACTTTAAGATCCTCTAGGGTGCAGCAGCAGCATAGACTTGAGGAGTCGCTGGTTTAAAAGAACATCAGCATCACTTAAATTATCAGACGCTAGCAAATGTAAACAGTCTCCACTTTTACCGTATTTCCCGGACTACAAAGCGCACCTGAATATTAGCCGCACAAGCTAAAATCAGGGGAAAATCCAGGTTTGTACATATATTAGCCGCACCTGACCAAAAGCCGCAGGTGTTTCAATGTTGACTTATCATATGTAAGAGAATATGCACAAAGCGAAT